AAGTTGGAGTTCATCTGCCTGAGGGGCAGAGAACCAAGTCTGCATGCAAATGAGTCATACCTGTGAAACGGATGTACTCAGGTTCTGGAACAGGACGAGTCCAGAAGTGGGTGAACAACCAGAACTTTCTGCTGGAGTTTGCAGCCGGTGAATGCGAAGAAGAAGAAGACTGTCTTTCCACAAAGTTCATTCATTCTCATGTAAAACCACATAAGGATGAATCAATCGGTCAGGTGCCCTCTCCCTAATGAAGGTTGACTGCAATGGATCTCCAACCTGCTTTGTCATTCATACTGAATGTATACTCTCTCAGAATGATGTTTATCTGTCCCTTGTTGTTATTCTTTCTGTTGTGTCACTGTCTGCCTCTTGCTTACTTGTTTTCAGTTTTTTCTCTCTGAATGGCATTTAAAAGAATGCTTTGTCTTGTAATATGGCCAAATATTTCACGTGTCTCTTTTTTTTATCTTCTTTTTTTTTTTTCCAGGTTCTCTGTTAATTTCTAGTCTCCATAGAAAATCTTGTATTTGATTGTTTTTGTTTCCATGAAATAGAATCTCACATGATGGCGATTCTTCTTTTTCTTCAGCATTCTGAGCCTTTGAGGTTCATTGCTGCAGATATCACCTGCCTACATTAATCTCTGTGATTGGCCCTATCTTTCCAGAAGTGGATTCCAAGTCTTTATAGGTCTGTCTGTATATTATCTCCCCACTGTCTTCTTGGTCTGCTTCATTGTCTTCTCCCATTCAACTCCCTTCCTTGTGTACACAGCTTCTGACCTTCTGCTATCTGCCATTCTCTCTGTATACCCCAGCTGTTTCAGTCTGTTATTCCTCATGATACTAGTAATTATTGATGATTTAAACATACTGTGATTTTCATTGTTGTTTCTCACTCTCTGTCCCTTTCTTTGCACCTCTGATTAGTCAGAAGATTTACCATAAGACTGTTGACAAATTTTTAATATAATGCTTTATCTTTTTCAGTTGTACTCATGATGATACATTGTCTGTATTATATTTTCAGCAAGTGTACGATGCCTGGGTACATCATCTGTTTACAGTGCTGTTGCGGCAGAGGCTCAGACTGTTCAGTCAAGTAAGACTGATACTCGTATATCGGAATTTAGTTTAGATTTAGTTTTACAGTGACTGTAATATGGTGTAAACTCTTTCAGTCCCACGAGGTTCTAGCTGATGTCCAAGGGAGTTAACAAAATGCAGTACTAGACTCATGGGTCTACTACTCCCAGATGAGCCAAATATTCAACCCTTGCAGGAAACACATATGTTGTCAGAGTTCTTCAAAATACCCCTACTAAACATAAGGTGTAAAAACATTGCATAACATGTTGATTGGTACACATGAATAATACCCGGTCACGCCTGATGCGTTATTTGGGACAGTAAGAGTTGAACATATGTTTTTGGGTACTAAATATACTAGATACAGAAAGATATGGAGGAATGCTAAACATTTCTTGGACAACCTTAAGTGGGGAGCAAAGATTTTTTGAAAGAGGCGAGTGCCTAAAGATGACTAATCACAGTTACCTGATGCAGACAGTCATAATTTTGTGGGGCCATGTTTTGAGAAGAGAGAAACTGGAACATGTTGTGACTACTGGAGAGATTTGTCTAAAGAGATAGAGGAAGACAGTGAGAGACGTTTTTTACAGCCTTTTGTCTTTGCATTGAGTGTTGAAGAATGCAGGTTGTGGAGAGGCATGATCATCCATGCCAGTCAGCAAGGCACTTGATGATGCTGATGTTCTACATGTGATACTTATTCAGCCTATTGTACTCTTCAGTCATAATATATTTTCTTTGTTTTAATCTTCAAAACATATTCCCCAATACAGGGCCTAGGACATTGTCCAAACCAAATGTAAAAAATGTTGTATTGGTGGAAGGAGTAAGGACTCCATTTTTGCTTTCTGGTACGCAGTACAAGAATTTGATGCCACATGATCTAGCTCGCACTGCTCTAAGGTAAGACCTCTATATTTTTTCTTTCTAATTAACTAAGTAAATAGTTATGAAAAAATGTTTCTTCTTCCTTCTCCTTCCTTCCTTCTTCTTCTTCAGATTTTGGTGTCCTACCACTACACTTTTAGTTCTAAATAATTATTTTACACAGAAGTGGACACTTTAGATGCAGAATAGGTCATCTGTTTGTTTTGACTTTTCCGAGGCAAACTTGGACCTAAAATTAAGACGGCCAAAAAATGCCCAAAATTTAGATTTTTCCACAGGCGCGCGCCTGTCGGGTTTTTTCAGCCAAAAACTGACATTCTGCAAAAGTTAAAAATTTTGTCTCAGACTATCATTTCACACTTCAGCAGATACTCTAGAGGAGTGGTTGAGAATTTCAAAGCAAACTGATGGCAGAAAAGGAGATAAGAAAACAAGGAAAAAACAGATTTTACTAATAAATTTCCCTAACAACTTTTGGTGTCCTACCAGCTCACTATGAGTCCCAGACAATTGTTTTACACATGAATGGACACTGTAGATGTTGAGTAGCTAATCTAGATGTGTAATCTGACATTTTGGAGCAAAATGGAGATAGCCCAAAATGCCCAAAATTG